ATGCATACTAACATATAATTTAAGTGATGATAAATTGACGACATTAAGTTTAAATTATTTGATTACATACTTTGTTGCAAATTGTCGATAAATATGGGTAAGTACATGATATGCGTAGAGATTTGAACTTGAAGTAAATTCAAACATTTGTATTGACAATTAACATGGCATTTATATAATCGAGAGATTATGGTCTATAGAGATTAAGCACACAGGCTTATTTAAGTATTTGTTATCGACGTCATTACTTACTTATTTTGTTTGTCATCGTTAATTACTCAAAAAGCTTACAAATGCCAGATTAAATATATATACAGGAGTTGGGACCATATGTCATGTGTACGATTAGCCAAAGAAAAATCATTAACAAATATGATATACAAATGTAAAAAAATAGCAACTAAAATTTGAATTTACTTTCAGTCTTTCACATTATTCCACTGCACGATTGACCCGTCAATTTATCTAAACTTTTTCAATTAAACTTTGAAAATTATTATCACCTCCATTTTCTGTATACATTATTTTCTCCCTGAGCAAGAGTTTTATTTTAAAAAGGAAACTGTGCCTCGAGATTCATATGATCCATGTGGAAATATTTGTTTTCTTTGTCGAGTCAAAGAAAGTATATTACACAATAAAAACCTTGGGACCAAAGGCAAAGAATTGACCAAAGAATCACTTATGGACCATTTTCACATGTGACCATGTGAGTTCCAACAAAACCATAACCACAAGAGACTTCTCACTTCTCAGTTCTCACTGTTCATATTAGCATCGTATCAATTAGGTCTATTTATTTGAATATGATTGTCACAACTATGTTTGGTTTTTTAAAGCATATGTGGGGATCCTTTGAAAGCTCTACGTGTGAATGGTTTAGCCATAACAAAAGCAAGAAATAAACACCATAAACTCAAAAGATATTTCACATGTGCATGATCACGATATTCTCAAGAGGCAGGAACAAGATTAAAGACTTTACCTTCTGTTTTCGAGTCCTAGAGAGATCTCCAAGGCATCTTCAAAGAGTGACAAGAGTAGCCATGTATTTGCTGATGCAGCATCATCAAGATTCCCATTCGAAAAGGAACCCTTATTATCGGATCGAGAGGCGAAAACAAAGGAAACCACATCTCTTGTGAATCTTAATGATGCTGCATCTGCGATTACCGACTGATAACAGCCATCAAAGGTTAGATCTTTTGCCTTTTCATCAAGAATCCAGCTAAATCAACAGCAGAAGGAAAACCTCGATAAGGGCAGTGAACAAAGAGGAAGAGCTGAACAAAGTCACCCTTAGCGGTTTGAGCTCTAAAGTTGG